CTAACAGATTATTACAAGGAGCAAAGGGGGGGGGGGAGGAATTTTCTCCTTAATTTCTTTAGCTGCCATTTTGTTTCCTTGGAGACAAATACTGGCTATAAATAGCCAATATTAGTTACTGCAGGCTTTGGGCTATTTTAACTGACAACTGGGGAGTCGCCATGTTTTCAGAAGCCCCGGCATTACACAGTAAAGCACAGGTGAACATAGCTGAGAATATGGTCATGCATATTTATCTTTGCAATTGCACAATTTGAAAATTTTTACAGAAAAAGCAAGCATATTGCTGCCTGTCACACTATCAACCTCTGCATCAACCACACTATTTCCCAGCATTTTACATATGCGCCTAAGTTAGCATAAACCTTTTTTATTAAAATATTCTGCAGAAATATGTATCAGCTTTTAAAAAAAACCACACAGAAAAAGCTATTGCACACTATGAGAACCCATAAGACTGATTTTGACAGGGCTCCCATCTGAACAATCAGCTTCCTGGCAATAATCTTGACAATGTCTATTTAGCACCAAGCTTATTCAGTGGCCTCCTTTCTTGATGGAGATGCCTTGTAAAACTATGCCTCCCAGCTGATGATGAGAGACTGGGATCAGGTGATAAATTGAAGATCAGGTTGTCTCCATAAAAGTCAGCAAGCAACTCAGTTATTATTGAGGGCTTCGGGGTTTAGGTAGGCTCCAGGAGGAGTCCTCATGTTAGGGGAAGGAAGCTAGATCATGTGCGACTCCCAGGTAATCTGCAGAAAGCAGGTTACAAAGGAGAACCAAGTAGGTGGACTATAAGACCTATAAAGATACACAGGCTCCTGAAGTTGATACCAGATCGGGGTAAAAGTCATGACTGAAATGTTGAACTTAAGCTAAACAGTTTTATTTTGAAGAAATAAAACTGAAGCCCTGAAGAAGAAAAAAAAATACAAATTCATGGCTGATGTGTTTTTTGGTGTATGTACTTGTGAGTTAGCCCACAGGCATACATTTATCAACTACAGCAGTGCATATCAGTAACATATGAAAGCAATCTCAAAACACAGACATTAAAATTGTAATCTAGGGTGTCAGGATTTTCCTGGGCTCATCAATTAAGTAATTTACACAGCACTTTCAGAAGAAATAGTCCCAGTCTCAAAGATTATAACATGTAGATTAGACAAGCAACAGTTTAGATGTCCAATGATGGATCTCTCAGAGCACAGCAGATTCCATTCTTTTATAAATCCCATTTCTTTGATTATTGCTGAAAGGTTCCCCAAGAGAAGCGTTTATTGAATGATGAAATGGTGATTGGTGTACAAAGGAAACGAGTGTGCTTTGTGGATGGGATAGCATGGAAGAATGTATAAGGGAAGGAAGAGGCAATGTTTTATTTAAAGGCAATAGACAATCCTGAGTCTTGATGGAGATATGTTAAATAGTTAACTGCAAGATTTTTTTTAAGAAAAGTTTAGTGACTTGGTAATTCAGAGTTTTGCAGTTCACCAGCTGACTCTACAAATATCCCAGATCTAGTGTTTACTGTACTGTGAATACCAATTAGTTATAAGGTGGCCAAATGGAGTACTGTCAACAGAAATTTTATATTTCACCTGCCAAGTCAGTTGTAGTTTGGGGTTTTATTTGACAGCAACGTTTTTACAACTCATCCCTCAGGCAAGATCTCTCCTAACAGCAGTTTAGGCTCCATAATGCAGCATTAATAAGTATGCTCAGTGCCCTCATGAGAACTACTTTTTAATACCGCAAGTCGGTCACACTACAGATTAATTCACCAATGCTTCTCCTCCCCCACTGCCAACCTTCTCCCAAAAGGACATACTTTGGTGATTAACTTGCCCTGCACTTTCTGGTAACTGAGTATGTCTACACTGCAATTAAAAACTTGCAGCTGCCCTGTGTCAGCTGACTTGTGCTTTTGGGGCTCAGGCTAAGGGTTTATTTAATACCGTGGTCTCCAACACGGTGCCCGCAGGGGCATTTCAATGCGCCCGCCAGGTGCTCGGGGCTGGCCTGGCCCCGGGCACATGGCGCACGGGTGCTTGCGGGGGGAGCGCCGGTTGGCGGGGAGAGCGCCGGGTGCTCGGCCTGCCCCGGGCGCCCAGCTCTGGGGAGGCCCGCCCCCGGGCGCGCAAGTGTCCCCGCCCCCTGGCGCCCGGCAGGCAAACGGCCACGCCCCCTGGTGCCCGACAACCTCAAAAGGTTGGGGACCACTGATTTAATAGCAGTGAAGCCCAATACATGTGGTCTTGGGCTGTAGCTCAGTTTTAAGATCTACACTGCAATTCAATAGCCCCTTAGTCTGAGCCAGAGTTAGCTGACACAGGCCAACTATGGGTGTCTAACTACAGTGTGGACATAGCCTTAGCTAGGTTTCAAATAGCAGAAATTGAGCATTTCTGATCAGAAATTATTTCCCTAAGAACAAGAGAAGAATAATTTTGATGGCTTTAAATACAAATAAAGAAGGCAAAGAATGTATTACAAGTATGAATTTAATTGCTCTCTCATAATTGCTTAGTTAAAAACACTTCACAAATATTCCAAGCCCCAGATAGTTCGCCTTAGCTAGGTTTCAAATAGCAGAAATTGAGCATTTCTGATCAGAAATTATTTCCCTAAGAACAAGAGAAGAATAATTTTGATGGCTTTAAATACAAATAAAGAAGGCAAAGAATGTATTACAAGTATGAATTTAATTGCTCTCTCATAATTGCTTAGTTAAAAACACTTCACAAATATTCCAAGCCCCAGATAGTTCCT